CGGTTTGGCCTTCACAACAGACTTTCTGCTTGTAACTGCAGGAAAACCATTAAAAGCATTAACAATGACTCACTTCAATGCCTCTCTGTGAGCATGCAGGCACACAATGTCAGGACAATCCCTCAGAGAAAGGCAGTAATGGTTTATACATTATACACCTGTGTTTTTCTGCACTGAGCTCGAAGCGTCGCTTGTGAATGATGTCTGATGTATGTGCTGGATCGATGGATGGCTCGGTGTGAGAAAATGAGTTCCTCCTGTTCCTATCGTCTTTTAATTTGAGCAAGAGGCAGAATAAATATTCAACCTTGATCTTTTGTGAATTGGCACCAAGCCTCTGGGCAACTTTCAGCCCATCTAAGCAGAGGTGGAAAACCCCTGAGTGGGTTTGTAATTAAAAATGAGTGAAACCCTTCTTCCTTTTTCAATATTATGCAATTAACTGTATATTTACCTGTACGTGGGGCACTTAATAGATCAGCTAAAGCTAGGATTTGTAAGTAAATACATTTAAAGATTACCAATATATCTACTTTTTATCACCTGTTAGCTTAATTTATATTACATGCATGTATATTGTGCTTTCCTTCCTCCCTACTTGTGGAGCTGTTATGTGGTATTCTAGCTGACAGTTGGGAATGTGTGCCACAATAGCATGTAGAGACCAACACCTTATATTTGGGAAATACCGCTAAAATAGAAACACACTTCCTCATATTGAAAGGTTAGTTCATGCTTGTATTACTTCTAGGCTTGACTACTGTTATTCATTATTATATCACGTTGCTGTAAAAGCTCCCTGAAAAACATTCATCCAGAATGCTGTGGCAAAAGTAGACGTGCTCTCTGCTTTTAGGATTAGGCTTGAACGCTTATAGTTTGGGCTGGATCATCAGGCACTCTAGCAGAGACTAAACTTTTGAAAAACACATATGCCTGTGTCAACTCCACTGCCTGCTGCTCTCTGCTTCCCTTTGCAACAGGATGTTAGTAATTGCTTTCACTTCTTCCACTTAACAGAATTGAAACTAGAAGTACAATACATAAAGAGCAGCGCGGTGGTTAGCACTGCTGTCTCACAGCAAGAAAGAACAAGGTTCAAATTCACCATCTGGCCTGTGTGGAGTTTGCATGTTCTTCCTTTGTCTGCGTGGGTTCACTTCCAGCTTCCTCCCACAGTCCAAACACATGCAGTTAGTGGGGTTAGGTTCAGTGGTGATTCTAAACTGACCATAGGTGTAAATGCGAGTGTCTGCCTGTTAGCCCTGCAACAGACCTGGATCTGTCTAGGTTGTACCCCGCCTCTCGCCCTGCGGTAGCTGGGATAGGCTCCAGCTGCACCTCTGACCCTGATAAGGATAAGTGGAAGAAAATGGATGAAAATACACAAAGCATGAGCCGGGGGATTTTGTGTGTTTGTGTGTGGAGAAGGCTCGGAGAGCACTATGCTGATTGCTTCACTGATATGCTAACAGCTTTTACCGTGATGGAAAAGCAAGGCTCGTCATCATTGAAGCCAACCTCAATGCAGAGATATTGATGAGATTCTGCAACCAGCAGCAGTCCCATATCTCAACACACTATGACTGAACTCAGTCCACCGACATGACAATGCTCGCCCCACAGAGTGGGGTTTATCAGAGACTACGTTAAGTTTGGGAGTGGAGAAGACAGATGACTGCCTGCAGTCCTGATCTCAACCTCACTAACACTTGTTGGATTAGGGTGGGCATGCAGTTTGGGCTAGAGTTACCAGTACAACCACACTGGCTGACTTGCGGCAAATGGGGGAAGAAGAATGGGATCCCATCCCACAGCAGTGTGTGACCAAGGTGGTGACAAGGAGGTGGCAGACAGTTGTGTCTTCCACATGCTGTTGAGGCCTCTCTGTGTTAAATGAATAAACTGTTAAATTGCCAGTACCCTCTTGTTACTTTAGACTTCCAATCCTCCAATAAATACGGACACCAAGCATGAATAAGCTGTTCAGCATTGGCAGAGAAGATTTGGGGAGCTTTTCATGGGCTCAACCCACAAATGCATTTTGCTTACAAATGTGGTAACATTTAGTGGAAGTAAACAGGTTTTCCAACGGTATAGGATTTATTGCAAGAAGCTTTGGGACAACAAAGAAATAAAAACCAAACACAAATATCCTTAGTTTTTGTCCTCAGTTTGTTTACATAATGGTTTCTGTGGCAATTTTACTGTTATTGTGGTGTTCGAAGTTTTGATTTTCATGTTTGTTGACCTTTCAGTTTCTTGTTTTTATTATAGTAGATTGTGGTGTTTTTAAATTGTTTTTTACTAAAACAGGGGTTAAAAGAGAGATGTTTCGGGGCTCATGAGAGCATTAAAGCACCTGCGCTGCCATTTCAGTAAGCGTGGGAAATGCATGCAAGTCCCACACACACAAAGTTTCCTGCCACTGCTTTGCATGCTTCAATAACCTTTCAATAAGAAGTTGTGATTGTTCCATTTTCATTATTTTCTTTAAGAAATAATATATCATTATGATTTAGCTGTTGTAGGAACGGCTCCAGAATATTTGTACCATTTTCACTTTCAATAAAATATCCTTAAATTATTATTATTTGTTGTGTTTTTATGTTTTCCTTAACCTTCTGAAATATGAGATTATACCATACTATAGTAATAAAATCAAAAGCTAAAGAGAAAAAAGAAAAAAAGTCTGTGCTGGGAAATTGTTTGTGTGTAAGAGGCAGCAAAGCTGAAACTTTGTTCTCCGTGTGCAGCGTACTCAGCCTCCTCCTCCTTCATTCAGACTGTAAGAAAGCAGAGAGGAAACATGGGGACAAAGTTCTGGCAGGAGTCCCGGTCCAGCAGGGAACACGTGAGGCTGAAGAGAGAGAGGATTTAACCATTCAGCTACATCTTTCCAGGCCAAGGCTAAAGTGATCTGCTCTGCTGTTTTGAGTGGCTCATTACATGTGGGGACGGTGCTTTTATTTCATTTCTTTTTTTCTTTTCAAAAGTATGCACTAGAGCAGGGCAATATGGCCAAAAATATTTATCACGATATATATTTGAAAATTTGCGATAACGATATAACCGACGATATAATTGATGCGAGACAAAATACAACTCCACAACAGTACTAGCGCAAAAAGACAACCTTCCATTTATTTTCACTTAAACAAGAAGCTGGTTTTTATGTACATTAAAGCTTTATAAAAATGTAACAGTGCAAATGCAAATTCCTTGCTGAAAGTTTAACCAAAAGGCATTTCCAGTAGAAATGGGCTGACATATCTTGAGCATAACCATGTATAATATCCACTGAAGTTAAAAAGAGATGCTTTGCAACATTAAACTGCAGTATGCAGTATGCATTTTTCGGACCATAAGGTGCACGGGATTATAAGGCACATTAAGCGAAACAAAGCAGTCAGATAAATCAAACTTTATTAAACTCATTCTTCTTGCTTCCTCCACTTCTGTACCATTGATTCATTAATGTTGAATTCTCTGGCAGCTGCTCTATTCCCATGTTGTTTGCAGTATATTAATGACTAACCTTGTATTGTGGATGGATTATCTCAGTTGTTCTCCTGACTGAAGTTTGGTCCGTTTACAGCAACCTGCCATGTGATTGCATTTGTCTCTAACCATGAAGAACCTTCACGTTAACTTTTATAAGTGGAAAAGTGTTAGTGTTCGTCCTCCAGCTTCACTGTTTATGTTATGCTAACATAGCTGTGTCGCTAGCGATCACGTAGCACATCATTATATACCAGCTAGCCCAACTTCAGTAACCCTACAAACATCACTGCTGTTTAGTTTCCTGTCTTCATTTATGTTGGAAGTGATAGCAGAGCTGTACGTTTGATTTTTTTCAGAAATCTCTCAGTCAGAACATGCAATATCATGCTTACCGGTAACTAGCGAAACTAGCGAGCTAACTTCCGCTAGCTTCCTGCTAACTTCTAACTCCGTTAAATGTAATAACTTTTGTTTTCATGGATGCCTGGAAGTTAAACTTTATAGTTACACCTGGTAAAGCAGCAATGCTGATCGTTTTATTAAAGATGAAAGAATTTAGACAGTTTTTAACTCTAAGTGATGCTGCAGTGTTGTTTGACCTGAAGCATACGGAGTTTAGGACCCAGATTACTCCCAGATTTAAGAGCATCTTAGTCCGACAAATATGACAATAACAACGGCCGCTTGCATGTTCTGCAAAAAAATGTGCTTTGTTGTGTATCTGACGGACAAACACCAAACCAGTTCCACATCACGGAAGTTACACCATTTTTACAAACCAATTCTGGATCATCTGTTTCACTCAACAATCGGCCATGTGCGTATGAAAACAAAGGCACCGCGCATGCGCGTTTTACTCCCATTCTATCGCGATATTTCATTTTCCTATGTTGCCTAACATTATACCGGTATTACCGTGAACGGTATAATATGGCCCAGCCCTAGTATGCACACGTTGACAAGTCACATCATCGGGTGTTCCTTATCAATTTAAGTCACAGATTTCTAATTTTACAATAATGAATGACATTTTTATAGAAAATAGATGGTAAAATTTGATTTTGGGGTGGATTTAATACAGTCACGTGCATCATGCCCAGAAATGTACCAACTGAGCATCATTTAAACACTACAGCCTATGAGAGTATTGCTGCTGATGTCCATCCCTTCATGACCACAGTGTAGTCATCTTCTGATAACACACCGTGTCACAAAGCTCAAATCATCTCAAACTGCGTTTTTTAACATGATGAAGAGTTCACAGTACTCAAATGGCCTCCACAGTCCCCACATCTCAATCCAACAGAGCACCTTTGGTTTCTAGCAAGGTGTAGATAATAAAGTGGCCTGTGAGTCTAGGTCTAGGTACTGTAAGGTCTTCCAACCGTGATCTTTCTGTTTTGAAGGATTTTCTACTACATAGTCATATCTTAAAATCTTACTAGGATATGATTTTATTCTAAAATGACAAAAAAATTATTTAAAAAATGAGCCAGTACAATTTAAAGCAGTTTTTATTGATGACAACAAAATGAGTGAAAATGAGCAGTAAAACATTTTTATCTATTGCAGTCATCAGAGAAGGCTGATCATGTTTTGGGAAAGTTATTTGGGTTTTTTGTTGTTGTTGTTTTTCCAGCAACAGAATTAATTTCGTCTCAAGCAAATCGGATGAAGTTCATGGATCAGCCGGCGGTCAAAAAATAAAAGGAAAACAAAGATTACAAAGACAAACGGCACACTTAATTGCCCAGTTAAGTGTTGAGGTAATGTGTAAAATACTGTTCAGATGAATGGGCAGAATACAATCAATCACACATAAAATATGTACAGAGAGGTACATGAACACTCAGACACCATTTCTCTATTGCACACTATGATAAACTGGGGTAACTGCAACAGAGGACACTTGATTTAAATAAAACAAACAAAACAAAAGTGAATGAGAAAGTACCTTCCATTTTCAAAACAATGAAAAAACTACAGGATCATAACTCGAACCAAAAGGAGTCACTGGAGCACGCTTGGCACCTCTAATCTGCAGGTTTAGAGGGCAACAAAAGGGCTCTGCAACAACCTCAGCAGGCCAACTTCAAAATAAAGCAACTGATGTACTGATGGGTGCGCGCGTGAAATCGGCAAATAAAAGCAAAACTAAAGCAAATCAATTAAAAACGTTTCAAAATAGATGAGCGTAAGGTCATATCGGTAACCTAAAAAACACTTGAATGTAGCTGAATCAGGGTCGATCTTTTCCCCTTCCCAACATGAAGAGGTATGACAGATGAGAAACCGTATGTCTGTTCACTTATAGAAGATCGTAAAAGTATCGCTTATCGTGTTTCCGAAATCACCTTCCCAATGAAACCGACACGTAAGCGAAGAGTTCCTTTTTAGTAGCCCATCAGAAGGCGCCGATGGGCAGGCCGACCGCCGTCGCTCCCGACACAACCGACGACCGGCCGGCCGATAAAAGGGGGGGAAAGTGCATCATATTTCTGTTAAAATACTGCGAGATAGCTGAACATTAAAAACAACACTCTTATAATAAACATCTGAAATATCTTCTTCTTTTTTTTAAATCCTGTTTTGTTTTTCACTAGTGCAACAACAGACGGGTTGAAATAAAGATTATTAACCTGCAGGCAATCAAAGCTCTTTAAACATCGAATAATTTTCTCGCCACAGTAGCAGAACAGTAAAGAAGGCAACTCAATGACTGATGCGTGAACACAAACATGCCAACAGTATTACACATCGCTCTTTTTTTATAGAAATAAATAGCTGATTATTAACTTTAACCTCTTCTTAAATAATTTCCATCTCTATATGACTCTGATGCACATTTAATATAAAGTATCTAGTACACAACTGCAATTTCAACACTACTGTTATACATAATATAATTCTCTCTGCTCGTCTGTCGTCAACCTTTGGAGAGAAAACGCTTACAGAGTGAACACCTGTAAACTTCAACTTTGCCACTCGTTAGTATGACCTTAATATTATATAACATCAAAGGTTGGTCATTTTTTAAGCAAACATTATGTACAGAGTAGCTGATAACCAAGGCAGGATTGTCTAAAACTGAAAAAAAAAATCAACAAGTGCTTTTGTGTTTTCTCTATTGTGTCAGCAAACCTTTACATTTCCACATTTCCTTCACCTGCACCCAGCAAACATTCTGTGACCAGTGTGGGATAATAAATATGCGGTACTGGAAGAACACGGAGAAATGGACATCCACGACTGTTCCCGAATTGTCGTCACAACAATTTGCAGTTATACAAGTCTGCGTACGTATATCTGACTGTGAAGCAGAGCAGCTAAGAGCTTTGTTTATCTGGGAATTTTAAAGAGCTCACGTGACAGACACCCACACAGGGCTCCTTGAAAATGTCAACCTGCTCTGCTCTGCTGCTGTTCCGCCCACAAATGATGCAGCCTGGCGTGGCGAGGCAGGGCCGTCGGGCGAATAAGGTGTGTAAAGTGACAGAGTAGAAGAAGAAGTCATGTTCTGCACGTCTCTTGATTAATTTTGAAACTTGTTACAGAACTGTGCTCGTGATTTGTTTATAGCGAGGGACCTGCTATGCTTTCCTTTCATACTGCTCCTCATAATCGCTGTGAACCAAAAGCTAAGGCTTCAAACTAAACGTTTGGTTTCTGAAAGTTTATCAGGCTACAGAAGACATTTTTATGATGTCACCGAGAGAGCGGAAATCCTTGATACGGTCATCTGAGGCAGATAACTGTGAGCTCAGAATCTCCACCCACCTCTCACGTGACTTTCTGAATCTTTCTGAAGGCGTATTTTGCTTAGATTAAGCAAAATAAGGAGTTACTTTTGTCTGTGAATCATGCAAAGCTACCTAGTAGAGCCCAAGAATAAAAATATGGCGCTCTTTACCCTCAGCACCCAACCGGTGGCAGCAGATGGCTGCCCCTCCCTGAGCCTGGTTCTGCCAGAGGTTTCTTCCCTTTAAACGGGAGTTTTTCCTTCCCACTGTTGCCAGGTTCTTGCTCACTGGTAGGCGGGGGTGTCATATGATTGTTGGGGTTTCTTTCCAATATTGTGGTTTCTTCTTTACTCCACAACATTAAGCGCCTTGAGGCGAATGTTTTTGGGAATTTATATAAAATTGAATTGAAATGAGCACAATAGGTCCCCTTTAAAACTGATTGTGAGCTCCGTTTAGAGATTTAGTATTGCACTTCCATAAAGTCAGGGAACTCATTAGAGAGACATTTAAAATTCAGTGCAGCAGAATTTTGGTCCATCAAGTTTCAAAAACTATAAAAAAAATAAAAAATAAAACAGTCCATTGCAGCACTCCGACATACAGTTTTTTGGTAACCACCTACATCTTTTTACACCCACAGTTCAGATCCCAGGTTTTCTGTTAGAAATGTGAGATAACCACCAGATCACAATTTCTATTTTCTCAGACAGGACAACGCTCCTGCAGAGCCTCGGCATATATTAAGATACTGTTTTCACAGGCTGTGTTACTGTGTGTATCTCTGTGTGTATACGGGTGATCTGGCTGTATAAAAATCACTGGAGCTCCTCCCTTTTAAGCTATTTGCAGCACAGAAAGTGAACACAGTAAGTTTAACTACTGCAGGTATTGCTACTCATACTTCTTGAGGATTTCCAAAACATACGCTAAACTGTAGTCAGGTCGCTTTTCCAATTTTAAAGGTGACACCGAAGACCTGATCCCGTATGTCTGCAAAATAGTAAAAGGTGATCCTTGTTCCATGCTGCAAAGGGTACAAAGTGTCACGTAACGCCAGCTGCACGTCAGCGCTGCATCTGCATGGAATCACCAGCAGAGGGAGGCAGAGGACGTTAATGTTAAATGAATACAAATGAGGGATCACACAAGAGCTTTGGCCACGAGAAGCTCCGTGAACGGGAATGGCACTGATTCAGGTGGCAAACGAAGAAAGTCGGATGACGTCCAAACTCTACGACACCTGGAGACTTTGTCCCATATGAAACACAACGCCTTAAATTCACACACATTTAAATTAAACGTCAACACTGCTTTTGATTTTAGTGATCAAACACTTGGTCCCCCTTTCCCCCTCGTTAATGGCACATTGGAGAAAACGCTCACTGGAATGAGGACACTGTTACGAATGGCACCGGTAACGTCAGGTATTAAATCCTGCTGTCTGGGATGAAAAGGCCCAAATATTTAAAAACACAAGATTCGTGACCTTGTTTGTTTTTGTTTTTTTTAAAACATATGGAAACAGAGGATGTTAGAGAAGAGGAGGCAAAATGCATCACTGCCAGGCAGTGTTTAGAAGACTGCAGGTCTGTGTGTGTGTGTGGCTGTCCTTTGCGCTCTGTCCACAGAACCCGCAGCTGGTGCAGCATATTTCTGTTCTGGGTGGAAGCAGTAAGTGTTCAAAGTCATCCATTGTCCAGTTTCAATGTACAGGCTTGATCCAGTACTTTGTCACAATTTCCATTTATGTGTTTAAGTCATCCACGCAGACACAAACACAACGTGAACTTGAATAAGAGAAGTCACATTTGCCTGTGATCATGGTCTGCAGCCCGTCAGCTGTTGGTGTTAGTCTACATCGAGCACTGTGTGGATGCGGACAGCTAAAAAGTGCTGTCGTGTGGCTTCAAGGGTTGCAATAAAAGGGATCTGCTCTGTGCAATGACAGAAACCACTTTTTTGAATGGAAAAAGCAAAAAGGTTACTGCAAAGGAAAATTTAGAGTAAGCTGTTGCGTTTCTTGAGTTTGTCAGGTTTAAAACAAGCCCCCCTTTCTGATACATAGTGCCGCTGCAAGTCAAACTGGCTAACCGATATTAACGAGATAACTGTATCAAGTTTTTCTGTCTTAGATTTGTACTTTAGCAAAATGCACACTGAGCCCTCAATACTACTTCACGATGCTGCAGACGCATTCAACTCCAGGAACAGCTGGGTCTTTTTGATTGACTGGAGCCGTGATGGCACCCTCTCCAAGGCTTGAGGAACCTGCACAAAAGACGTTAGCAGAGACTGTCTGCTTTCACGTGGAGGATTTTGGAGAAGCCGGGTCTCTTCTTTAGAGCCTGAAAGTAAAAGAGAGTGCGATATCATAATCTCGTTTCCTGTAGAGACACACGGTGTGTATGACTTATCTCTAAATACCTGCAAGCCAAATAGTCTATCTTCTATAAATCTCCATCTCGTCATGCTCTTTTATTTTCGTACAGATGCACCTTTTTTGCCCTTTATGCTTCACCTTTACATGACTTGTTTGACAGAACAGATGATTCACTTTGATGTTTCTTTCTCCACAGCAATCGTGAGGAAGGAGGGATAAAAGTGAATCAGAGCTGTTTGCAACTTTTGGAGAGAAAAGAAAAAAATACCTCAAACTAAAAAAATCTCTTGATTCTACAGCTGTGTGTGTGTGTGTGTGTGTGTGTGTGTGTGTGTGTGTGTGTGTGTGTGTGTGTGTGTGTGTGTGTGTGTGTGTGTGTTAAGCTTCAACAACAGCCAGAGCATCTTGGCAGCATAGCAGCAGCACATCCACAACAAACCATCACTGGGGCTTTGAGGACTGAGTCATGGTCTAATGGTATGCAACTGTGATAAAGATAGATGCACTGTACCCACTTAACAACTATTGACCTAACTCTTAGTCATGTGTATACAGGACCTTTGTTACCAGATACAGTAACTACAATGTCAGACATTGACATTGCACAGTCGACCTTTGATGAATGAATGGCTGTTACTTTAGTAAAATAGTAACAGCTCATTCAGGAAGACTCATAACGGGGGCTGACAAAGAGTGGGGGGTGTATATAAGGAGTTATGTTTCCAAATTACAAATCATATTCACTCCTACATAAAAGTTACACTAACAAACAATAATACAAACTGATACTGTACAGTTATTTAAACAAAAACGTCTTTCTCTCATTGGCTAAACTCTTTTTATTTATTCTGGATGTTTGACAGAACAGCACTAAGTCAGCTGTGATAGTCAGCTTTGCCTGAGAGGAAAACGACAACAGCAGAAGAACACAGAGATGCAAAACAACAGCGAGATAAGGTGGCGCCATCTTGGCACATTTTCTGGTGCTCGTGGTTTGTTTGACAGTCACATTGTGTTTGGCTGCATGTTTTTAGAAGGAAATAACACAGAATAAAGTTTCCATCAGTAGCAGGCTCGACCTCCTTTGGCCTTCAAAACTGCCTTAATTCTTCAAGGTGCTGGTGTGATGATATGCCCATATTGACATGACACCATCACACAGCTGCTGCAGACTTGTCAGCTGCACGTCCATGATGTGAATCCCCTTTGCCACTGCATCCTAAAGTTCCTCTACTGGATTGAGATCTGCTGACTGTGGAGGTCATTTGACTACAGTGAACTCAATGTTACGTTCAAGAAACCAGTTTGAGATGGCACCCTGTGTGGTGTTCTGCTGTTGTAGTTGCGCTTCTGCATACCTCATGGTTGCCTTCCTATCAGCTCAAAGTAGTCCGGTCATTCTCCTCTAACCTCTGACATCAACAAGGTATCTTCACTGTAGGAGCTGCTGCTCACTGGATATTTCCTATTTTCCAGACCATCTCTGTAAACTGCAGAGATGGTTGTGTGGGGATGTTTGAGTAAAAAAAGCAGTTTCTGAAATACTCAGACCAGCTCGCCTGGCTCAAACAGCGATCAGCATCTAAAGTCACTAAAATCACCTCTGTGTGAACTTCCACAGGTCACCTCAATCATGCACTGCATTTTCTAAAAATGGGAAATTTAATTTTAACTGAGAGGTTAGCAGGCAGGTTTGGGTTTCTGTTGGTTTCCTCCTCTTGAGTAATGAATGCCTGTAACTTGATTTTGTCTGAACAGTACTGGATGTCTCATCAGTTGAAAAACTGGTGTATCAAACTATGTATGTGAAGTGTGGGTGGACTGTGAGACACAAAGGTGCTGTTACCTGGAGCTTGTTAACCATCTCATCAAACAGTTTTCTAGCTTCTGGGCTGTTCGGGTCCTCAAAGTAATCTTCTATACCAATCTGAACCACAATGGATTTGAGGTTGCGGCAAACACCTACATAAATGGAAGGAGCGTTAACACACATAAGTAACAACACCGGCAGTAATGTAACAGCAAAAACATGGCTCTGCTTAGAGTTCTGCTTTAATATTATTGACTACACAGCCACACTAGTTAACTGCAAAGCTACTTAGCCTGATCTATTTTTTTTTTCAAACTCACTGTTGAAGTGGAGCAGGGCTTTCGGGGTGACTGGTGTGGAGGTGAGCACCAGCATCTCGAGGCCCTTCAAGCCCTCTCTGCAAACCTCTGCTGCCACCTCCTGGTTGATTTCACTCACATGGTCCAACTCTAACACCTGCAGGCGCATGCAGTTCCTCGCTGCAGAGAGGGAGGATTTCAAAATAAAACACAGCAGAGGTTACTGCAGGACACAAAGACTCACTTATATTTATAGGAGCTGTAGCAGAAATGCAGGTCTTTTAAACTAAATAATGTCAGGACAACAAAGAATGGACAAGACTCATTTGGATAAAAACATCAAATACAAGAAAATACACAAAGTAATTACATCAGTTAAGCTCAAACTCTAATTTGTAATCGCTAAGGAGTGGAATTATTATTCTAGTTTACCCAATGAGGCCAGTCCCTGAATCCCACACCCAGCACCGCCCACACCAAGAGCACGGAGGTGCGGCCAGCATCTTCCAATGGTCTGCAGACAACGGTTACTGAAGCGAGCGGGTTGTTGGCTGAAGGGAAAAGACTGGGTTTGAAATGTTCATTCATTTGTTTGCAATCCCATATTTTAACAGAGTTTCTGGGTATGAGATGGAGTGTGTTACCATGGATGTAATGGCGCCACCTGTAGGGATATAATGTCTCTACATCCAGCTCCAAGGGCCCAGATAACCTCCTGCCCAACTGGATCTGTGGCACTCCTGAAACAGAATAAATATGCACAAATAACCAAATTGCACGCAATATTATACAGATTAGAGCATGACTTCGGGATAAAAAGCAGGATAGTTTCTATCTGTTTTTATAGAGCGGTCTGAGTGTACGTTATTTCACAAAAGACAGGACCTGGATGTCAGTGTGAGAGTCTACCTGTATGTTACAGCCTGAAGGGCTCGGCAGTAGCAGCTGGCCAGCCAAAGGGAGCGATCAGTCAGCAGGTTGGGGCAGTGTGAAATCTTCAGTATCAGCAGGTTACTTCCTGTGGCCTTTAACAACGCCTCTAGACCCTCCTCCAGACAGCCACTTAGACAGAGATTTAAGGGAAGGTCAACAGAAAAAGACAGAAAGTGATGTTTTTTCCTTTTGACACTCCAAAAGTACCATTTATAGAAAATAACAAAAAAGGGTCCACTAACATTTGCAGCATATCCAAGTTGTATCAGCGTAACCTGGGAGCACCTACTTAACTCTAATTCGTTTCCTTCACTCCACGTTCCACTCGTCCACTCATATCAAATATCTGCTTTTCTACTTCCAGGAAATCATAACTGATCTTTTACATGCCGAGCATAATCAGGCAGCACGGAAATGTCAGTATTCATCAATTATCCTTCTCCTGGTGGCTTCCGCTTATCAATCACTCTTTGAGGAGTCATTTGGTATGTCACTTAGTTTGACAGTTTGCACAGCAATGCTTAATAAAGCCAAAACAACACACACTGCAGTACCAGGTGTGAATGAGCCACTAGGCAGGGATTTGAAAAGAGGAACTGAGCTTATCGGTCGAGCAGCGAGCTCCAGGGCTTTTTATCACATGGCCTGCTTGAGGTTGTCACCATGAGCTCTCATGTTAAACTGTCCAACAGTGAAAAATAAGCATACTAAAAGTCAGATTTTTGGTTTTTGTAGCTGAAGTTTTTTTTTAACAACTCATCCATTTTTGAGTTAAGATTTAAAGCTTTGAATTATTTTACCACGGACAGTTCAAGTCATTCAACTGCACCTCTCCACTGCGTCTCTGAGAGCTTTTCATACAGTCCATAGCTTGCTGACATTAGCTGATAGCTTAGCATTCCACCCTCTTGTCTGAAGGTGAAACTAAGTTAGCAACAACATCAAAACGCGAATCCACAAAGCAGTGGAAGACACTGTGGTGGGAGTGACCATATTTTACATGCAGTCTTTGGCAGCTATATGTTGGATGTGTGCCTCACCGTGTGCTTTTCAGGTAATCCTCCTTGGTTTCCTTCTTGCCCCGCTGTCTTGGTTTAAGGTTTTGCAGGATCAGAGAGTGCGTCTGAGTGCACCACTGAGACATTGTGCTAAGAAACTGAGAAAAAAAAATACATGTACATAAGAAAATACACCTTAAATAATAACAGTAAGCACATGGTTATCTTGACTGTTACATATATCACAATATCTTCATGTTCACTAAGCACCTTGGAAGAGATGCGAGCGTTCTCTAGCAGCACTCTGGTCCACACGGCTGGGTGGCGGGCCACAAACTTCCAATTGCGGCAGACCTCGGCAGCTCTCAGCAGGGTCTTAGTATCCAGGTAGGTGAAGATACAAAAGAGGGCTGCACGTATCTTCAGGATCTCTGGACTGATCACCTCATTGGATTTGGAAGGACTCTTTTCATGTCTGCATGGCTTGCTGTAGACGCCTTCAGACCGACCTGTGGGAATAGAAGAGTCTTTAATCCAGTTCCTAATCTAACTAGATTAACAAAATTATTGTGCAAATACAGTACTGTGCAAAAATCTTGAGCCAACACTCATTTCTTTATATTTTGCTTTGAAGGAGCCAGACTTTGTCTTTTTTTTTTTTTAAAGAAAGTAGTCTTAAACAATAGTTCAATAGCTTTCTAAACATCTGCTCGTTCACTCACTCTTTCAGAGGAATGTTTGGGGGGGGGTTTGTGTGTTAAACCACTTAGCACTGACCTATGAATCAGTCAAGCATACGAAAGCACGCTAGTCAAGGGAGGAACCGTGCTGTGTTTGCAACTTAGTAAAGCACCCATTTCTTTAGTTGAATCTAAGAAAAATACCAAAGTTAACACTTTGACAAGCATCAAATATTATTTTTGCAACAACAAGGTGACTCCCAAAGATCTTTTAGCCAAAAGTTTGGAACATATTGGAATATGGTGTACTTTCAAAACATAATGAGGAAGCTGGACATGTGGAGGAAATAACTATTTAGCATAGATTAACAATTAACAGTATCTGAAAGTCAAATCCTTAAGATATAGGGAAGAAAGCCAGCTGACAGTTCACTGAAGCATTGTCAGAAATCTTGTTTCAGGCTACATTTACACTGTGGGGTTTTGTCAGAACCGAGGGAATTATGAACACAGACAAGGAACCATTTTGATTTTTGACAATACTTTACCTTCAAAGAAGCGCTTTGAATGTCTTTTAAGAAGCCTGAAGAACTATTCCTAATTTTTTTAAACACTATTTCAACACAGCCTGAACCTTCTTAGGTTGAAAAATAAAGGCGGCCAGGTTAAACTCTGACTTTCAAGGTCAGTAAAGTTACACACACTGTGTTTTTGCCCTGCATGCTTATTTCCATGTATGTTTGCACATTTCAATAAATCACTGCAACTGTTTCCCATTTTTCTAGCAAAATGTAAAAGAAATGATGGGTGAGTTGAGACTCTTACAAAATACTTTAAATCCTCTTTAAAAAAGAAAAAAAACATTCTGTCACACGGTGGCGCCAACTTTCTGAAGGACACTAATTAACATTGCTCTTTTTTCACCTTCTCATCTTTTCATTCTGTGGATTTTTATCTATCGGCTGACATCATGTGTCCATTCCTCTTAGCAAGATTGCTCCGAGATGACTCATTTCGTCTTTGGCCTTGGAAGGTGTCCGCTCGAAACCAACAGGGCTACGAACCATTGCTTACACTCTCACTGTTCTTCGTTCACTCTCTCTTTGTCTCTCTCTCTCACACACACACACACACGCACGCACACACACACACACACACCACACACACACACACACCACCTACGCTCAAGATTGCCAAGTGAACTAAAAAAAAGAAGCCAAACTGTGTGTTGCATGCTGGGAAAACAACTCTGTCTTTGCTTGTAGATACATAAACCTCCATCACAACCTGGCAGAGACTCTCCCGATAAGAGGGACTACGTCAGAGCAGAGGGATGCCAGTAACATGATGAGAGGAATCTTTTGTGTTAATGGGGCCGTTATAGCAGTTTACACGAATTCGTCAGAGATTTGGCCCAGTTTTGCTTCTTCGCAGACCGCCCCAGTCCAACTGGTATTTAAAATCCCAACAGCAGGTGGAAAAGATGGAGGGGCCACAGCAGTGAGTTCAAAGATCTTGGCATTACAAGAAGTTAAGAGAGAAATGCACAATCTGTGGTGGATTTAAGTTGTGCAGGAAAGACCAGCTGCCTAGCTTTGCTGAGCACAAAACCTAGTATGAGGACAGGAACTGAGACAATATGACAGACAAATATCGCAACGCACAAAGGCACACAGAGGAAGAACAGCAGAGTCACCTGCAGCAATGTTTGACTTGATTTTCTCAGCATCTACAACAGAAACGGTGGCAAAACATCTCATTAAAAAGGACTCGAGATTTTAAATTGTGTTGGATAACATTAGCCTGTGAGCCTGCTAGAAATATTTATAGACCCTAAACTTTGTGCGTTTTTCTTGTCCCTCGTTGCTTCATTTATTTTGTTTATCGGAAGCAAACGTAAAGAAGCTGCATTTAGCTCCAACACTGCAGATGGAGCCATCTTCCTGATGACCCCTGATGCACCGCAACTGAACTGAAGCTGTGTACCTGCACCGCAAACACAATAAGCATATGTGTGGTCCAATATTAGAATTTTTAATCATTTGTACCTATTTTCATGTTATTTATTGATTTAAATACAATTTCTTTAACTTTGTTTTCTCAGATGGTATAGATTTTTTCCTTGTCTTGCATGAATATCACACGAGACCTGCAGCAGATAAAAGGCCTCAGTGATAAACCCCAATCAGTTTGTAGAACGAGCTTCGGCCACTGATGCAGCTCCTGCAATATTACATTACAGCAAGCTGACCCAGATCTACATCTGTCATTTCTATTATGGGACTCATTTCAAGGCCTCGACTCTGAATCCTGGCTCCCAGATATTAAATTGTAGGGAGTGTCGGATTTACAGGATGGAGATTTCTACTAATTTTCCTGCACTTGACAAACAAGCACCAACACCTGGGACCTGAAAATCAAGCCAACAAAGTACTAAAAAATGCAGGTCCTACAGTGAGTTAATCCCCTTAGACTTTTAATGTAAAATATCTATCCGATCGAAATCGATGGGTGACCTGTCACCGTGGCTACGCCCATCTGTTACCCATCTGTTTACATTAACAACTTTCCAAAGAGCCCTTACCGGCGTTGGGGCGGTATGCTGCTCTGCTGTGAGAATAGGGCGCAGCAGACTGCTGGACTTCCGCCACAGCCCTCCTCTCTTGCTCCCACATCTCCACTTCAGACTCGGTGGTTCGGGAACCCACATCAGATACGTCTCCCTCCTCGCCTTCAGTGCTGTTCCTGTAAGGTCGCCGCTGCCAGTTCTGGATAGCCTGTTTACGAAGACCCCAGTTTCTCGAGCCGCATCCGGGTGAGCGTTCGTAACCCCCCTCATTCAACCGGCACTGCATGTGATAGTACTGAGCTTCAGGACAGTCCTCCATGGGATGCATCTCAACGCTATCACTGTCGTAACCTCCAGAGCCTTGCGAGACAGACTTGATCCTCCCTGATGCTCTGCAGAAAAAAAATACAAGGGAGGGTAATCTACATGAGTTTGTTTTTATTGAATTGTCTAACATATAGATGACCCATCTTACATCTAAAAACAAGACTTACTGTGGTAATAATTTTGAACAAAAATTATACATTAGAAAATAGCTTTGCTGGCTTTCATGCAGAGACCTAATTATCAAACCAATCTGTTAAAAATGAAGCTAGAGACCAATTGGTCCAAAAGTAACTAACAGTGTCTACAAAAAAAGCTTACACTTGAAATGCAACATAAATATGACAAGTTGTGGGAGTCTTTTGGTTGTTTTTTACGGGAGCTATTTGAAGGAGTAAGTTAGTTCAGTCTTAGTTTTTTTGCACATTTGTCACACATGTTTCAGATCATCAGACAAAAACTAAAGAAGTACAGTCCTCACTTGTCTCACTTAAGGTCAGAGTTCACGATTTAACAATAAGAAAGAGGCTGGGCAAAAATGGCATCCGTGCACTACTGACCAAAATTCCCGGCCATCAGGTCACACCGTGAAGCTCAAGAAACACTTGGGTTATGAAGCAGGACAATGATCCAAAACATACCAGCAGGTTCTGGAGCAGCCTCGCCGAAGTTTGGACTTAAATCTGATTGAGATGCTTTGGTATGACCTGAAACAGGCCGCTCATGTGCAAAAATGCTCCACTGTGGCTGAATTACAACAATTCTGCAAACAAGAGTGGGCCAAAATTCCTCCACAGCCGTGTGAAAGACTCATTGCCAGTTATCACAAACCCTTGATTGTAGTTCTTGCTGCCAAAGATGGGACAGCCAGTTATTTAGAAAGCAATGACCTTTTCAGACAGGTAGGCTTGGATAACATTTATTTCCCTAAATAAATGAAATCACAATCTAAAAACTGGATTTTGCATTCATTCAGGTTATCTTTGTATAATATTAAACTTTGCATGTAAGTGTAACAAATTTGCAAAACAACTAAGATACCATGACAGCATAAATAGTAGGGGTGGTGGAAAAAATCGATACTGTGTAGTATCGTGATATTTTGTTTGCTAATAATGTATCGATACAGGGACAGCAGAAATTGATATTTTGTTACAAAAAAGGTTTTTGTGGACTGGAACTCTGACTTCAGAGCATCCTTTTTCTGAGCAAGAATCCTGACATTCCTTCACTGTCCAAATGTGTTTAACTTTTTTTTGGCAGCAATAAACATGACAGTTTACTTGTTTTAATTTAAGACATGTTTTATTTTAATTAAGGTTAAAACTTTTTATTTAATGTAAAATTATATTTTGTTTTACTTTACTTTCCAATTCTTCAGTTGCTGAATGGGCTGCATAGTTTTCATAAATTTCAAAGTTCAGAATAGCTATAATTGTACCAGATGGTTGCATTCAGTTAAGTTGGACTAGACTGTAATACAAACCGTTCAGTTTGTCAACAATAAAACTGACTGAAATGAGAGAAAGACTGAGTGCGAGACTTTGATATTAGAGAAAATGAATATTGATAAAGTTTACCTTGATGTACAGAATCTGAATATTGCAAAATATTTAAAAAAAAAAATCGCAATAATATCGTATTGTGCGTTAAGTATTGTGGTAATATCGTATCGTGGGATGTATGGTGATTCCCACCTCTAAATAGTAAATAGCTGTTGAAACTGCGACCCCATTCAGGCCTTCCCCGTGCGGATGCTGGATTTAAGTCGACCAATTTAATGGCACATTCAAACATACAATTGCTACACACAAAAGTCTCAAATACACAAAAGACTTCACTGTTGTAGCTACTTTAAATTCATTAGCTACATGTTCATGTTCTTCTGATCAGTAAAGGCCTCAGGGCATTGCTAACAAAGACTAATATCCTCAGAGGTCCATTGAAGACAACATGAGTGCTGCTATAGAGTACGACAGAACAGGTAAGCTAGTGTCACCAACGAGGAAGAGCCGCACTTCAGGTTACTTATTGTCAAATCAGGGTGACTTTTGTGAATACGAGCTAATACAGTCCTTAAAATAACCACCCAGCTACCTCAAGCAATAAGCAGTTACAGTTATTAGCCTTTCAAAAGTAGGACATTTTTCTTTTTCTCTCTTTCTTCCATCTCAGTGCTTCTTTTTCTCAGCATAACAAGGAGAGCAAAAACGTCTCCATGCATCATTATAAGAATAAAAGTGTAAGAGAATCACAGGTAATACAGCAGATGACACTAACCAGAAATTCCAAGTCAGGATGCACCAAAGTAGAAATCCATAAAATGCCACAAACATCAACTTATATTCTCTAAAATTAAAATGATGATCTCACTTTATCGTTTAAACAACAAAACTGGGACAAACCTGGACTAAACTGCAGTCTAACAAGCTGTTTGTAAAGCTGCAACATCATCAACATGACAGACTGCACCAATATTAAAATCAATAAATACCTATAATGTGAAATGAATATATCTATCTATATATAAAAAAAAAATTAAAAAAAACAAACACCCAGCACGCCCCTGCGGGCGGTTTATCCTTCAAGCTCGGGTCCTCTACCAGAGGCCTGGGAGCTTGAGGGTCCTGCGCAGTATCTTAGCTGTTCCCAGGACTGCGCTCTTCTGGACAGAGATCTCCGATGTTGTTCCCGGGATCTGCTGGAGCCACTCGCCTAGCTTGGGAGTCACCGCACCTAGTGCTCCGATTACCACGGGGACCACCATTACCTTCACCCTCCACATCCTCTCGAGCTCTTCTCTGAGCCCTTGGTATTTCTCCAGCTTCTCGTGTTCCTTCTTCCTGATATTGCTGTCATTCGGAACCGCTACATCGATCACTACGGCCGTCTTCTTCTGTTTGTCTACCACCACTATGTCCGGTTGGTTAGCCACCACCATTTTGTCCGTCTGTATCTGGAAGTCCCACAGGATCTTAGCTCGGTCATTCTCCACCACCCTTGGGGGCATCTCCCATTTTGACCTCGGGACTTCCAGGTTATACTCGGCACAGATGTTCCTGTACACTATGCCGGCCACTTGGTTATGGCGTTCCATGTATGCCTTGCCTGCTAGCATCTTGCATCCTGCTGTTAGGTGCTGGATTGTCTCTGGGGCATCTTTACACAGCCTGCACCTGGGGTCTTGCCTTGCCATCCTTCCATGATGGTTCCTCGTCTCCCACCTCTTTCTTGGGTTTCTGCTGCCTGAGGTATTCACTGAGCACTCGGTCAGTTGGGGCCATCTTCCCAATGTATTCTTGGATGTTCCTTGTCTCATCCTGGACTGTGGTGCTGACACTCACCAGTCCCCGGCCCCCTTCCTTCCGCTTAGCGTACAGCCTCAGGGTGCTGGACTTGGGGTGAAACCCTCCATGCATGGTAAGGAGCTTTCTTGTCTTTATGTCAGTGGCTTCTATCTCCTCCTTTGGCCAGCCTATTACCCCAGCAGGGTACCTGATCACGGGCAGGGCGTACGTGTTGATGGCTCGGATCTTGTTCTTACCATTCAGCTGACTCCTCAGGACTTGCCTGACCCTCTGCAGGTACTTGGTGGTTGCAGCCTTTCTAGCGGCCTCTTCATGGTTCCCATTTGCCTGCGGGATCCCCAGGTACTTGTAACTGTCCTCTATGTCTGCAATGTTGCCTTCTGGTAGTTCAATCCCCTCAGTTCTGACTACCTTCCCTCTCTTTGATACCATCAGACTACACTTCTCCAGTCCGAACGACATTCCAATGTCATTGCTGTATAGCCTGGTAGTGTGGATCAGTGAATCGATGTCTCGTTCACTCTTGGCATACAGCTTGATGTCATCCATGTACAGGAGGTGGCTGACAACTGCTCCGTTCCGTAGTCGGTATCCGTAGCCAGTCTTGTTAATGATCTCACTGAGGGGGTTCAGGCCTATGCAGAACAGCAGTGGGGACAGAGCATCTCCTTGGTAGATCCCGCACTTGATGGTGACTTGTGCTATGGGCTTGGAGTTGGCCTCTAGTGTTGTACGCCACATCCCCATTGAGTTCCTGATGAAGGCTCTTAGGGTCCCATTGATCTTGTACAACTCTAGGCATTCCAGTATCCAGCTGTGGGGCATTGAGTCATAGGCCTTCTTGTAATCAATCCAGGCAGTGCACAGGTTGGTCAGTCTGGTCTTGCAGTCTCGGCTGATTGTTCTGTCTACCAGTAGCTGGTGTTTTGCGCCTCTGGTATTCTTGCCAATTCCTTTCTGTGTCCCGCTCATGTATTGACCCATGTGCCTGTTCATCTTAGCCGATATGATGCCTGACAGGAGCTTCCATGTAGTACTGAGGCAGGTTATTGGTCGGTAGTTGGAGGGGACCGGTCCCTTCTTGGGGTCCTTGGGGATCAGGACCCCAAGACCCCTTCAGTTAGCCATTCCGGGTGTCTCTCGTTAACTAGCAGCTGGTTCATTTGTGCTGCCAGACGCTCGTGGAGTGCAGTCAGCTTCTTCAGCCAGTAGGCGTGAACCATGTCGGGCCCTGGTGCTGTCCAACTCTTCATACTGGAGACCCTTTCTTGGATATCTGCCACTGTGATGGTTACTGGACCCTGTTCAGGGAGGTCGCTGTGGTCTGCCCTCAGATCCTCTAGCCACTGAGCATTGCCGTTATGGGTTGCATCCTATTCATGTAGCCCCTTCCGCCGGGGTTACTTGCGTAGTAGCATTCCAACAACGCCCTGTTTTCGTCTCTTGCCCACCGATGCCTTCTTGTTCCAGTAGCCCACTTTTCGTCAGGGTGCCCTGGTTCCTCAACACCTGACGCGGACCTTGTTGATCTGGGCGACGTCCGAGCCGGCATGCCTTCATACACATATACATACACATTATATATATATATATATATATATATATATATATACACACACACACATATATATATATATATATATATATATATATATATATATATATATATATATATATATATATATATATATATATATATATATATATAAAATAAGAGACTATGAGTAAGAATTGGTAATTTCAGAGTCCACATAGCATCA